TTGCTAAACTAACAGTCAATCGAAAAGTTTATTCTTTTGAATGTTTTTAGCTCAAATAAGGATAGCAAGAACATAATAAATGTAGAACAGCTGGGAGGCAACATTTGGAATAAACTGCTTTACTCTTGAGATAAACTGTTTCGTGTGGGGGGTTTGTTTTTTCTTTTTAACTAAACTTTCTAGTAAATGTTATTTTTCTCATCGATTGCTCAGCTCTGAAGATCACAGTGACTTTCAGGGTTTTGTTTTTTAACTGCTAAATAAAGGCTTAAAGGCTCCCAGTCTCTAATCAAATCTGCAAGGCTAGCCTCCAGTTTTACCATCCGTACAACGCAGGGCCCCCTTGAAGGGATCATCAAGACCACTTCAGCAACTCTGAACAATTCACATGAGTGAAGATCCACTGCTCAGTCAGGCCCTCTAGGAGTCATTAACTGACAAATTTTGCAGCAGTTTGAAAATTTAAGGACAAGACACTGCTTGCCCCACTGCTATCTAGGGGAAAAAAAAAAAATTCAAGGGTCTTCTCCTTCCTCTCTTTGGCCTTTTACTGGAATGTTTTCCTAAATTTCAAAGGTTAACCCAATTTCAAGCAGAAATGGTTGGAACCAACCTGGGTCCAAGAATCACTTGTTTCTTTCAGATTTCCTAGAGAAGAGGGATTTTCTGTTCAATCTTGGAGTACATTTATGTCAGTCATATCTTAGAATGGATTATTTTCTAGTAAGATCAAAAATTGTTTTCTCAGTCATTCAGATATTTATATATACACATCAAGACAGTATAAATCCTTTTCTAACAAGGCCTCCTATCCAGTCCTTCCGTGTATTTCCAGAACATACTTAGGAAAAGTTAGTTTTGTTTCTATGCCATTATTTTCTATAATTTTCACAAAATTATCTATGCACACATGCAGTTGGAGACATAACACAAGAACTAGCACTTCCTCTAGCAATGGTGAGGAGAAATTAAGAAGGTTCAGACTAAAAGGCTGGAGGACCAGGGAAGTACCCTGTCAGCCCAGCAATGGCATATCATCCACTCAGCTGGACTTCTAACAGTAGCTTCTTGATTACTAGAGTTCCAAACAATTGAAATGCTCACACTGCACTAAGGAAATGTGTACCTTCATAGTGTAAAAAGAAAATAGAAAAAGTGCCTTGAAAGATAGTTTAGGTCTTCCAGTTCCCCTAAATTAAGAAACAACAACTAGCTATGCAGGCTTATTTCACAGTACTACTACAATTCCTTTTCTCCTGCGTATTTGAAAGAAAGCTGCAGCCAGACCTTATGGTCCCTGCCTGCATTCAGGAGGAATCTTTTAAGAAGATATTTCTTAAATCAAAATGTAGCAAATATCTCCTGAGCATAAGTAAATTTTAACTTTTCAAAGACCTACAATAATGTCAGGTTTTCACGTGGCCAGTAGCTCAGCCTGAAAGGTCTGCTCCAGAGCAGAGAAAGTAGAGTTGCCAGATGAAGTGCATGTAAATGGTTGGTCATTTTTAACAGTGACAAAACAACCCATTTTCTCTAACCACATTTGGATAAATGGGTAAGTTTTTAAGCAAAGAGATATGGGAGTCTCAGATGCATGAAGCGGCATCAGCCTAAATGGAAAGGCTTAGAAAATTAAAAGCAAAGCCAAGTTGAAAACAGACTCTTAATGGAAGCGATGCACGACCTGTGCTTTGCTCAGTTCTCTTCAGGACAGGGACTACGTGATTTGTCTCGATCTTCCACAAAGTGCTGAGTGTGTGTCAGCACTTCACCCTGTGTGCAATAACAATGGTGTAAATGGAAGAACAGTGAACTACAGAAAACAGAATTGTATTTCATCCAAGCAGCTTCCCAATAGCTAATCTTCGCTTCTACATAATCCCACTCATCTCATATACTTATACATTAACATAGAAAACCATAGTAATGCAGTGTTTTTTCTTCTTATATCTTCATTTTCTGACCCATTTGTATTAGAATGAATCACATGTAAATAAATCACCTGGCTTAAAGGTAATTTTCTACTTTTTTGTTCTAATTTCTTTGATACATCAAATCCAAAGTGTGTGTTGCATGAACATCAGTAATTTTTTTATTTCACCAGAAATTTTGGATAGAATTCAAAAATATGCCTTTCATCCCAACAAATCAAATTTCATACAAAATGCATCAATTTAATTTTTTACTGTAAACATTGAAAATATATTTTTAATTTACTTATTTTTGTATTTGCCTGTAAGTCAAATTAATGAGGAACATAATCTTAAGGGACACAAATAATGTACATTTTTTCACTGCTGGTCTGCATGTAATTTCTTCCAACTCAGTATTCGTATTAATCCAAGTCAACCAAAGTCAGTGCTTTATTATAAGAACATAAGCCTGACCTAAGAATACACCTGTCTCATTAGACAGGTATATTACATAGAACTGATCTGGACAGATATTATGCAAATGTACACAATACACACCACATTCCAGGGCTACACTTTACTTGCTAGTCTGCAAGGCTAAATGGTTTCAGAACTTGAAAATGTTTCATATGAATTAGATCCTTTAAGGATTAAATGTAGTTTGCCTCTGGTTTATATAATGCTGTACAGTAGTCACACAGAGCCATTTAGAGATGCAATTTATTTCTCTGTTGTAAGGAAGACACAGGCTACACTGCAAATTGCAAAGGCTGCTTTATTAAGTGACAGCTAAAGCTGAGGAAATAATTCACCCTGAATAAATTACACACTTATTTTTTTATTTTTATTTCAAGAATGTCTGAGAGAAGCTTATGGTCTCTCCAACATACCTGTTAACTGAAATTACCATACAGAATTCCTCACATGGTTTGCTATTACATGCCCGACGCTCAAAGCTATGCTTAGTTGTGATTGGCAAGCAAAACTTCTGGCATAGGCTGTTCTGGCTGAATGATCAGCAACAATCACATTTCTTGTACAATGTAGACATTTGTTTTTTTCCTTGTAGTGCCTTGTTTTATCTGGTGTACTTTTATCAAGAACTTGACAAGTTTAGCTGAACATAAAATTAAAAAAAAAAAAAGTCATTGCTATTCTACAGATAAGAAAACTGAGAGTACAGAGAACTTAGGGATGAAATCCTGACCCATCTCCTGAAGCACCCTTTAGTAACATGGTAGTTACATTATGCAATGCTGAGGGAGAAGAAAGTCCAACTGATTTACAATAGTGAAAAACTTAGTTAACTGTATCATTTCTTATGAGGATAGAAGAACCTTCAACAGAAGGCTTCACAGTCTAGGAGGGGAAAGGTACACACATGTGTGGAAGGAAAGAGATTCCTTAGTCCAGAAACCAAAACACAAAAATTTATAGACATTTATCCAAAACAAAATCTCACAGAAAATCACAAACAGATCCCACTTCATTTTACTTTCCTGACTACAGTATTTATAAAGAAAATGACAGAACTCATCAACCACAGTGCAAGCCAGAGAAGTGACTCCAAATTTCAAAATAATAAAGGTGTGAAGGGAAGAGGATCAATAGCTACCATCCCAGGAGAACAGCAATAACAAAATATTTCTATTCATTCAGATACCAAGGGATCAGTTTCACTTATCTGTAGCTATCACTCCGCAGCAGCAGAGATTAGAGGTTCAGGTTCCCATAACACTTATTTCTCAAGGAATATAGGCCAAGTGTTTTCTAAAGTAGTATAATTAAACATGGAAGTTACTGGTAAAGATTAGGAAAAAAATGCTATCTCTAAAGGAATTCTTTTTTAAAATTATATTTCCGTGCTTTTTACCTGTACTGATTAAATAGAGCAGCGAGATGTTTCAAGATTTTCTTCTTGTGATGGACACAGGAGGAGCCATTATGGGATAAAAGGTGACATAAACTGAGAGGCTTTAGTTTGTTCTACATTTGCCATGTTAATCCATGAGTTCAACATGGCAAAAGGTAGTAAGTTCTCAATGTGCAACTTAGAAAAGCAGAAGTTGTTAGTACTATTTAGCAGTGAACAGCACATGATTCCAGAACAAAAGAGAATCAGTTATCCCTCTATTTCACCTTTCATTTTCTTGTGTGGCACAAAGTATTACGAACTTGATTCTCTAGGACACTAAATTCACCCTATGCTATATATGCAATCTTGTTCAGAAGCAGAGAAAAACTGAACTCAGCATATTTATTAGCTCCCTCATTTTCCAGTAGACATTACTCTTAAGAGAGTTGGGTGTATGTGTTTAGAAAGAGTAAGATTACCAAGCTATTTTCTTCTCTTTTTCCAGGCTGCTATGAGTGACAGGTACTGGATTAAGCCACCGTGAGAATTCACCTTATTGCAGAAGGGTCTGACAGAATCAAATGATAAGTATCACCTCCTCAATGCTCCAGCCACCCTGTGATTCATCTACATCTGATGGATTATCACACTCTTTTCTCCTAGCTTTGCCTCAGAATGTTATTCACACCACTATCAGCTTCTTTTTAATGCCTCCAACATAAAGCCATCACTCCAACTTAACACAAATTGACTCTAAATTTTTATATTACTTTGACTTTAAAAGAGATAAATATTATTTCAACATGAGATGTTAAATAATTTTAATCTGAACATTTTCAGCAAAAGGGGATTATTATTGGGGAGTGAAAGGGAGGCAGGGTAGCCAGGCACTATGAAAATAAGTTTTCTGAAGTCCTCAATGGAATTTCTAATGAAAAGGGATGTGTCAAAACAGGGAGAAGCCCAAGAATGACCAGGACCCCAACACTCAGGTAGAGTTTCCATTGACCAGAAGAAACAGAGTTGAAGCAACCTGGAAATGAGATGACTGCCCCTCCTATTTAGCTATGAGAACAGGAAGGACAATAAAATATACCCCACCGCACTGTGGTAAAGCTAAGTTGACCGGAGTTTTTTAAAGAATGAGTTAAGTGCTTGAGTAGAAGAGGCCACAAAAATGCTCAATGCATCTATATTTGTGCACAATGCATATTATCAGCTGTGAAACTCACCCAATATAGCAACAACTTCATCATCCTGGATTACTTCTAAAGACCCCGAAACCACAAAGCAAAGGCTGTCAACGCTCTCGCCGGCATGGTAGATCAGGTCTCCTGGGGCACAGTGCACTGTCTGAAATTCCATGGCAAGTGCTCGAAGGCACCCATCACTTGCCAGCCTGAAGGCTGGGTGCTCCTTGAAAACTTTGCGGTTTAGATGCACACAGATGTCTGCTCTCATGTCCTTAGGGCATATCTGCAAAACCTGAGAAGGAAATTAGGCAATCAGTTCCTGTCCATGATTTACATGTACCTATTATCCCTAGTTTACTACAGAGAGTTTAAGAACTACTTTCCTCCTTATAAAACTTCTAATCTAAGTCTATACATTTATTGCTGTATTATTTATACACATAAGCCACAATACTAACTTAGTCTACTTCACAATACCTGAAGGAAAACAATGTTTTTATCTCAGAAACATGCTCTGCTGAATATTGAAATACCAGGATAAGGCCTCAGGTTTTTAAGAAAATAAAACTGAGAGCACAGTAGTACAGAAAGTGGTGGAGGAAAGCTTCCTGAAGGATTGTTTCTAGATGGTAGGTCAGTCTTTCAACAGGCAGATTCCATGAAAGCCTGCACAAATTCTATGCTCCAAGTGAGAGAATATTGTATAGAGAAGTGCAATCTTATATTCCTTTAGGGGAGGAAAAAAAAAAAAAAAATTACAAGTTTCTTGAACTCATAATATTGGGATTTGCAGGTATTCAAATTCACCCCTCAGTGGCAGTGACAAGTTTTTTGTTCACACAAGAAAGAGACTTTTATCTGTGTTGGGCAACTTTTGATCTTCCAAATGCAATGTTCCTCACGGCAATTCATGATGTGCTCTCCTAAGGGTACAAAAACTGATGCTTAGCACAGCGGGTACCAGTCAGGGCCATTTTTGAAAGTTTTCAAGGTAATACACACAGCTGAGTGGGAAGAATACAGAATTACTCTGCATGCACAGATTAAAAGTTCCTGACAAAAACACTGGAAATATATAACATGAACAGGGTTTTGGGATGACAAAATCCTTGGAGGACAGTCTGTGTTTAAGCACATCTATTATATATAATGCATGTATTATTTGAGAAAAACATTGAATAGTATAAGTCTGCCTCATTTTTTTTTTCTCAGTAATAACTATTCCATCCAATTAAGGAGCACACTGGGTGAGCTTTAGAGTGCCTCCCACACATTGTCCTAGATGGAAAGAGATGGCTCCTTCAATACAAACATAAAGGTAACACAGGAAGCACTATGGCTATGCCTACACCTTGCAATGGAGCTCTGTGCAAGATCTGAGCAGAGAACCAACCTCATAACTTTGTGCATGGCACAGGTTCCAGATATTACACTTGCTACTCCAAAGGCAAACAACTCTACCACCACTATCATCATCTTTGGCCCACCTCCAAGCAAACTTGCTATTACAGATGTTACTTCTGAAAGATGTATATTTCTATAGCAATTAACTGTAGGGCACTCATGGGTGATCTCTCCTGGCTGCCGCACAGAGAAGAGCAGCCAAACCTGCCATTTCTCCTGCGTTTTCCAGACTCACAGAAATGGGTTGAGGCAGCAAGACCAGCATTTAACATGGAACACAGGCAGCGGCCATAACTGTCTTTGCAATTATCTTATCTACTCTGGCAACAAAAACATTGTGTATCTGCAGATGCTTGCCAAACTTTGCTACTGGAATTACACATACATACTTCACAGTTACTCAAATATCACACAGCAAAGGGGTTGTTGTAATAGAAATTGTAGTAAGAAAACCTGAATATACAAGAAAATATTTAAAATTAGGCTCTTATACAAAACCCCCTTGGTTTTCCAGTCTAATAGGAAGTTAACTCATTTTCCATTCTCCACTTAGAGAAGTTGTCTCCAGACTTCACAAAAATTAAAGGGGTTAGAGACATTTGAGTTACAGACAAATGGCAGAAGACTTTCATTTGCATGGGAGGTAAGAAACATATCTTCATGGATTAATTTTAGAATCTTTCATCAGCTCTTGGTTAAATTTTGTTAGACTGGTATTTTCTAGACTTACTTTGCTTTTAGCTGATTATTCACTCTTTGGCATGTCTGCAGTTCACACTGAACTGACAAATTTGTGGCCTACAAAACAGTGAGAAGATGGGTTCTGTGCTAAGTTCATCTTTAAATATCTGCCTCTTCTGTAGAAAGCCGCACTGCGTTACACAGCAGCACAACTACTACTGTTCTGTCACAGGAGCAATACATGTTTTATTCATTGCATGACATCCTAGAAGTTATACACAAGCATCAAACCAATGGAGCTCAGACCTGAGAGCTTATGGATTGGCACAGCCAGTAGTTGGTCTTATTATCTGCTAGCTTTTGCTATGCAAATTAAAGTTGATTTCTTGGTTTTACAGTCATCACTACTGGCAGTTCACCTATGAACACACTAGTTATTGAAAACAACACCATACTAAGGTCTTTGATGTCCTGATAATTGAAGACTTTTTTTCCTGTTTGTTAAGATAATTCTCAAAGGCGACAGTGAGTTGTGCTTGGTTTGGTTATCCTGCTGTCTCCAAACGCAGTCTTAAAGCAGTTCTCTTCTTATCAGAAGCAGCCAAGAATGAACTTTGAAGATAAGCTAAAACAAACATGTTTTACATCACAATTTTTTCTTGTTGCTTTGTTAAAATGATGAAAGGAGCTTGTACTGGGGAGTGAATGAAAGCACCAGCATTCATTACACTATGTATCCTTGGATATTGTCTCTCCACCTTCTGTAAATGTACCTACCTCAAAGCCATAACCCTGCACAACGGTATTTTGTGAGAAAACAGGCAGAGCAGCTTCTAATCAGCACTATCCAGTACTAAAATACCATTTCATTCTGAAAGCTGGTATGATGGACAGTGCTTCCCAGAATTGTGGTCTGGGATCTAAATGGCAGACACGCTGAAGACCATTTAGGAAAGCAAACAGTACCCTGTGTACCCACTGGTCTCCTGACAGCCCAGTGCAAGGCCACATCTGTTCTACTCTTTCATAACGATGCTTTAACAGCTAGGCAGAAATGAGATTGTTTGTTCTTTAACTGCATCATCTACAGTTTTGAATACTAAATTAAGCCACCAACCAGAAGGCTGCTGATCAGAGCACTGGTATAATTACCTGAATGAACCACCCCACAAATCACATCTCTTTACAAGCAGAAAGCAAACAGTATCTATCTCCATAAAAGCTGGCAACTAATATGAAAGTGGCAAGTAGTTGCTTTTGTACGTGTCTTCTAATGAAGGCCCGTTTGCTATTTTAAAAGACACAATAGGAATTTTACTTGTAAATTCAATTAATTAGGATGATAATATTTGCCTCACATAAGGCAGATTTCAAACAATACATTATTGTTATTATAGTAATGACTTTCAGATTTCATTAATATCTTTAACCTGCACACAGAATATTACGTTCAAATTCTACGAAGACAAAACAAATTTTAATTTGTATTCAGGCCCACAGAGCTGCAAACAACCTCACACAACAAATATTGCAAAAAAAGCTCATCTGAAGAAATTCTGAGGTTCTCTTAGAACCTGGAACTTTTTATTTAGTTATCAAGTTTTTACTTTCATCATTTTTATGACATATTATACTATTTCATGACATATACCAGCAGCACATGCATACTTTTACCACTAACATATGTCAGTATGACAGAATAGGTGAAATACTGTATTTGAAAGTTTAAAATCAAGGGAAGCTGCTACTTGGAACTATTTAAAGAATATTTGTCTTCTTTACTAAGAAAGTACCTCCTGTTTATTTTAATGAAATACTTTCAGGATGTGACTTGTTTCCTTGCAGTTTAATTTACTTACCTTTTCAGTATCTATTCCTCTGGACATTGACCAGGTGGAAACAATGTAATCCATCACACGTTCACTCAGTCCTTTAGGGACCTGGTAGAGCTTTAGAAAGTCCCGGACACTGTTCAGCATTTCATGATATCTGTTTGTATTAGCATACATTTGCTGAAATATGGTTGTCACATTACCAAAAATGGTTGCATACAGAAGGGCTGCAAAAAAAGAAGAAAAGCAATAAATACATAAGTTGTGACGATCAGTCTGTGTCCCACTATGCTGTAAGGCAGGAGACGCCAGGCCCACAGAAATGCATACAGTACCAATGCTTTGTTAGGACGGCCTGATAAGCACAAGCATTTTATTGGTCACCTTCAGCACTACAAATTGAAGACCACCACCTACTTTTGTGATGGCAAGTTCTGCAACACAGAGTTCCTGAAACACAACTCTTTGTCATTGTCCATCAAAAAATTCAGTAGTATCCAAATCCTTATGAAACCACAAGAGAAGACACAAGAATTTTAAGACTAATAGCTTGACAGCAAATACTTTAAAATTTCATCTCTGGTTTATAGTGCCTGTGTTGAAATGCCATCAGTGACAGATTTCCAAGCTTTGAAGTGCATTACCACAGTGGTAAGCCAAGTCATCATTACCCACCTCAGTGTGACAACAACAATGCATCAAAGCAGAAGATGGAATATGTAATAAACAGCTACCATGGGTCAGTGATTTACAGATGTAAGTTTAATAATACATAAAAACTCATATTATGTTTTACATTCTTCAGGCAGAAGAACAGCCAGGCCTGAGGCAAGAGCTAGAGCCCTCAAAGGCAGACTGCCGCACAGCCCCTCTGACTTCATTCAACACAGTCATGAAGCCAGCTGGTTCATCAAAATGGGTTTAAGAATAAACACGAGAAAGAAAAAAAGGCAGTATTTCCAGGTGTGGAGAGAAGCAGATGAAAACACACAGGACTTGAGAAGATCCGCCTGCTGAAGCCCAAGACAGAACAGCAGTCTGGTGGCAGTCTCAATGGTCATGTTTTGATGGCTTGCAGAGACAGGGACTGAGGCTCTTCCAGCCAATCCAGCCCTGTATGAAAGGGAAGGACAGGAAGCCTCAAGGGGAGCTTTCCTATGACATGAATCAGGTCAGTGATACATGAAAGGCTGGCTGTAGAGTGAGAGAAACAGTCCGATGGCAGATGCACCGATAACCACCAGGAAGTGCTCTGGCTTGCTGAGGAAGTTCTTCCTCTTTATCATTTCCTGTCCCCAGGTTTGATAATGTGAAAGAGAAACCCACCTTTGATAATGTGCAAGAGTAACTTACAGGACTGTCTTTTCCCTGATCATTGAGAAATGCAAGTTAAATTTAGACTTGCTCAAGGCCTGTACACTTCTAATTCTCTACAGAATTCCTTCATGATGCTTTATGATTTCTTTTCTTTTTATGAGTTCCTGTAGAGAAAAGCTCTCCCCTTTTCTACTACCCCTCTGTATGGATGGGTATAAAAATATATATAAAAATGTGCAAACTCAGTTTATAAAAAAGTGGAGAGTATGAATGGGGAGACAGTGACCAGAAATGTCTAGATTATTTCTCTGTTTAACCTTAACTGGTGCTTGAGCTAAAACATACCAGGAAGTCTGATGTAATGAGTACTGAAGCATGAAAAAATACTTTAAAAAACAGATTTACTATAAATGCTCCTTAATCCATGAATATTTAGTATTTGAACAGCATTACCTTTCCCTATCTATGTCCTGTTTTGCTCTCTGTTACGCAGAGGCAAACACAACCCTACAATATTGCTACCTGAGGCTTTACACTGACTTTCACCAGGATCCTTAAGAGAAACCGAACTCAGGACCTCCAAACCTGCAAAGTCCCACTGGCAGGACACTTCAGCAGCACAGGGCAACCACAAACATCGTTCTTCTGCCACCCAGTATAGCGCTGAAAATAGGTGGCAGATTAGGAAGAGGGTCACAAACAAATTCTTATCTGCAGATTTCTGGGCAACCATACTTGTATGCATACAACTATCTCTTGCTCTCTGGCAAACAGCAAGACCTGGGTGTTCAGTATCGTGGAACATATAGCTCTATACCAGCAAAATTAAAATGGAGTCCCCACTCTGTCCCTTTACTGTCCAGCTACATGAAGCCTAAAGAAAAGTCAGAAATTTGGTTCTTCATTCTGATTATCATGAGGCAAGCTGTCCTAGAGCAATTTCCTATGCAAACTGCAGCTACTATACTCCAGAATGACAATTATCTTGGCAAGAAAAATTATTCCTGCCTACATTAATTTTTTATTAAAAAAAAAAAAATCCCCAAACTTACAATCCTTAATTTATCATTATCTAACCACTTTATTACTATTAAAGACACATTAAAGCCAAGGATTTTTGCAGCCTAATATTGGTTAGATACATTACCATATTAAACACTGACCTCTTCTGCATAGAAATAGCTATCTGTGTGCCTTTGCTTCTTTTCAAAGGAATAATGAAAAGAACCCACTGCAGTACACTGCAGCCCCAGAAAGATTTCAGAAACACTCTACTACAGGAAGAAAGTTGGGCAAAATCTCCAACATCTCATCTCCATGAATGTCAAGATCCCTCAGAAAAGACAGAGCCCACCTCTCCCCCAACATTAACATTCTTTTCTGATAATAAAGAAAAACACATTGTCTCCAACAATGTGGCTACCCATTTACAATGCAGTCTGTGTCACCCCATTTAGACCAGTGTTTAAATAATGTCAAAGATAAAAGCATAGTCATTTCAATAGCCAATTACCCGCACAAGTGAATCATGAAGGTCAGACACAGGTTGGAAAGGTCACCAAATCATCTGCTACTTTTAATAATGTAACAAATATGAATAGAGAAATAAATACAAGTCAGTGCAGGTCTCAGCTACCAGAGTAAAAGATCTGGCATCTGATTTTAGAATTGTAAGAGGACGAATTTCTATCTGTAAGAATGAGAGGTTTGCAATTACCCCAATTACAGATGTAAGTGCTGCATGCGGTTCCTGGGATGAATCATCAGATTGATGATGATTTGTTCAAAATGCAGTCATCCAAAACTCTTGCATACAAAATGTGTGCACAAGAACTATACAGCAACAAGTGAGACCAACATCAACTAGTGAACAACCTTTCAGATCTTGCCCCCACGACTTGCAGTGCATTCTAAAACTGAAGTGCCTTTGTTCTCACATTCTGGAAAGCTGATCCAGAAAGTCTGTCTATCTGCAAATAATAAAATATGCAATAAAAAAAAACCCAAAACAAACCCCGTTTTACATACTTAGGGAGAAGCCTATGCTAACCCAAATACTATTCAAAGAGCAAGCTCCTGGATTCTCAAACAGTAGACGATCTAAATGTATAATTGCACTTTTGTTTCACTAATAAGTTTGCAGTTTACAACAGATTTTTGAGTTCATAGATGGCCGAGAGTAAACACAGTCTTGAAAACCTGTTGCACTATATCACTCTCATTGAAGACTAAACATAACCATAAATTAACCACAAAAATTGCATTCCTCAAAGACATTTTTCAGATAACACATTGTGAGGTCACACAAAATTAACATTGATCAGATAAAAAGAAAATGAGAAATTAATAATTGTATGGATTATAACATAATTATATGAGAAAAAAACCATTGTTTTAAAATGTGCAATTAGAACAATGTAAGAGCTTATAATTGCTTGAGATTAGGGGTCTTGATTAGTGGTAATTATGCCTACTTATGGGTAGAGAGCATGCATTTAAAAGAAAAATGCTGAATTGTTAATTACAGTCTGCAAGCAAATACCAAACTGAACAGGTATCTATCAACAAATTGTTTACAGCACTAGTTTTGATATAATTGCTGTTTGTAGTCTTGCAACTTGAAACCAGAGCATCTAAAGAAAGATTTTCTTATCGAGTATCTATATACCCTTCTAGAATAGTACAGAATTTAAATAGGTTGCCTCATTTTCTATCAAGATGCATGTAGAGCTGCTTAATTTGCTACTTCTTAGGAAGCTTATTAAGTTCAAATTATAAAGTTTCATGTTTGTAATCTTTTATCTACCTTTTATTTTTTATTAATACAATGTACAGAGATAGCATTTAATTTAGCTAGTGAAGAATAAATGTCAACAACTTAGCCGTAATCTAATAGGTCAATTAATATTATGCACTTTATGAATTTTCACAATATGTTTACGTAACATTTTCACATGGCATAAAACAAATTACAATTGCTACTATCTTCTTAGCATGTACATCAAGTCCTGAATTTCACAACTTGGGGAAAAATACATTTTTTGAAGTGAAAGTAAATTCCCAGAGGAGCTCTCCCCTGTGCTGTTCCAGTGACAGATCCTGCTCTTCCCATGGCTCTCTATTCTCCTGGACTGAACTGATACAGTGCTTCACCTCCCTCCTCTTTCACTCCACCAGCTTGTAATTTGCACCTCAGCTTAGGTACCCCACAAGCAAAAGTAAGGCAGTAGCAACGACAAAGATCAAAGAACTGTCTCACTACTATCAATTGAGCAAGTCTGAAAATGAATTCAATGGCAAAGAGAAAAGCAGAAAGCCTGAATAGGCCATGAGGGACATGAGCACCAAGCTATGCAGCAGAACCACTTGACTTGTAGGATGAAAGATGAAAGACCACTGGGAAATTTTACTAAACTCTTAGTCAAATCCTACTGCAAATCTTCTCACACTCATCATCACATTTGCTGAAATCACCCTGCTGACGACAGATGGGACATATAAGGCTCCAGCTACAGTGGAAATGTCCCCCCTGCAGAAGGGGAGGCCATCAATGAGGACACAGTTGATAAGGGCTAAACAACTGAGCATCAGTGACATGATTTTTTTTCCTCTTCCAAACACCAAAAAAACAAGCACTGCAATGAAATGCAAGTCAGAGACATAAACAAGGGAACAGCTGCTCTAAGAAGCTACTTGAGCAACTTCCAAGGACTAGAGTAGTTGACACATCTGCGCACCTTAAAATAGGCTGTCTGCAGTATGTAAGGGCAGAAAGGGAAGAGTTAAGAACAGTTATGGAACAAAAACCACAACCAGCTCCCACTGCTGGTCTCCACACGCCCTTTCCTAACTCTACAAAATAAAAGCAACCTGCTACTACACCAGCACAGACCCACAGGCAAATAACCTC